ATAATCCCATGTCGAATATGCCTTGTTACGCGCGATTTTCCACTAGGCTCATGCCCACAGCCGTTGATTTTTTTCCACTTGACCCGATGTCAAAGGTCATGAAAGCACCGAATGATAAAAGAACCGTACGTAATGATGAAAGGGACGAAAGGTAAAAGCACCAAATGATAAAAGAGCCGAAGTGCGGCAAAAGTACCGAACGTAATGATAAAAGCACCGAACGTAATGTTTCAAAGCACCGAATGTAATGTTAATAAAAGCACCGAACGTAATGTTTCAAAGCACCGAACGTAATTTAAAAAGCACCGAACGTAATGTAAAAGCACCGAACGTAATGTAAAAAGCACCGAACGTAATGTAAAAAGCACCGAACGTAATGTAAAAGCACCGAACGTAATGTTAAAAGGGCCGAATAGCAAATGCGCCGAACGAAAAAGAGCCACCAAAGGCAGTAACGGCGTTCCATATTTTTATAGCTCTGGTTTTCAGCAATTAGACGACGAACGTACGGAATCTACGGTACGGATGGAATACTAGAGGGGCACTGTACCGAAACATGGCGGTTGGGAAATTAATCATTTTTATATAGGCCTAGGCCTAGTGTTTTGATGTTGAATATTTATTTGTATATGTAGACAATCAGACTGTAAGTAAAAATAAACACATTTATTAAGAGTATATTTTTTGTCATGAATGTACCGTGGTGTTTAGGCTGCTTCCTAGTTAGGCTAGGCCTAGGCCCTATAAGTCCATACCATGTATCAGTTTCCTCCTCCTGCATTGTCGCACAGACGGATGTGTTGTCGTATCACTATAAACAAAAGAAGAATGTCTATCATCCAGAGGCCTAACTAGGCCTAGATACGAAGGAGGTATTATACCTCCATGTAGATACCATTATCAGGTTATATAAACATTTAATATTTAATTGAGATTTGTTTGGAAGCAGTAGCTAGACCGCTAGTTAAAATAGGCCTAGGCCTAGCTAGACGATCTTAGATGGCATCTGAAAAGAAGTAAGCTTACTATAGAAAGTGTATGTTCTACCAGTACTAGTACCAGAGAAGTATAGTAAATGAAGGGGGTTGGCCAGCCACCCTGTTCACCCCTCTAGATTTTAGATCCGCCACTGTGAAAATAGCAAAATGGCTTGCATTCCAATAATTTATAGGGAAGTAAGTGATGCAGAAACACAGCAAAGATGCACTGATGATAGGATTAATAATAATAGGCCTATTGTTTAGGTTTTACATCTGAACAGTAACTGTATAACAAAAGACTATTCATACACATCAAAAGAATTGCTAAAACTGCAGTGCAAGCAATTTGTATTTAATTAGGTTTGGTAAGCAGCAGATCTTTGTGTTATTTTTACGTACAGTTGAACTTGCCTAAGTCGAATCCAAAATGCCAATAAAAAATTGTTCGACTTGGATAAAATTTGACTTACAGATTGTTAATTAATGGAAAACACAACAATTTGACATGTAAAATAAGTTCGACTTAGAAATTATTTGAGTTATGCAAAGTCGACTTAGGCAAGTTTAACTGTACATATTTATGTAGGTGCATCCTTCAAAAGGACTTTGCAGTATGATCTATCCGCAGGGTAAGAGGGGCTGTAACACCAGGGTAACTCCCTACTCATCTCAGAACATCTGGGTTCTTTTAAGTGCACACTAGGCCTACAGTTTATAATCCTTATCAGAAAAAGCATGTTCCACCACCAGAACCATGTACACACAAGCCCCTCAAACCAGCGCCGATATTATGGCTGTATGTTACAGTGCCCCAATCTTAACCTCTAGGCCATTTGAGGCGACCAGATTTCATGGTAAAGATCGTTTCTGGTACCGTGTGGTTACCGTGACCAATAAGTCACGGAAACGAAAAATCGTTTCCCATGTCTGGCCTAGCCTAGCCAGAATTAACAAACAACACTCACCACAATCATAATTTCAGTGGAAAAGTGTTAGCCAAATACTTTGAATTCTGAATGGCAAATCATATGTCTATCACGGAGGTCTTTGATCCGATCGTATATTGAGAAAATGGTTTCCGCGCTAGAACGAAAAAAAAACACCAAAAAATCACACCCACTCTATTGGCTGTTCTAATTTCAGTACTAGTAGATAGTAGTCTTTTTTAACATCTTCAATGGAATTACCCATGAATGAGGCGGTACGGCAGTATGAAACACCACGTAACTTGATATTTAATTATGTTTCCAAAATGGCTTCTCCAAAAAAGGGAAAGACCACGACCTCGGAGGAGGGAATGTTTTCGTTAAAAACTTTCAAAATGGTATTTCAGTGGTGAATTTGAAGTAGTGGAGACCAATGAAAACATTTTAAGTGAGATAAGATGCAAAATTTGCAGTAATTAATTACAAGTGAGTGGTTTATGATCGTAGATCTTGATTTTGATGATTTTGTTATTTATTTAATAGCAGGCATTAAAATTTTATTATATTTTTCCAATGCTAATTGTACTGTAGGTCAAATTTGTCCAAGCCAAAGCCCAGACCTAAAGCTAGGCCCAAGATAGTTTCCCGTGATCACAGCACAGAAACCAAAAGTAGTTTCTCATGAAGTTTGAAATCCTGTAGCCTGCCATTTGACTCACCATTTTATGATGCTGATGTTCGTTTTTTATTTTCTAATTATATATTACATAATGTTAATTTTATGAGTGTAATTATATGTAGAAATTCGTAATCACCTGCACAACAAAGGAGTCCATTTTGTTAATAAATTTATTAAAAACACAGGTTTTCATTCACACAGGTTGCTTGTGCTGTTCAGGCCAGGTAACATTAATTGTTAATTTCACTTCCCCTCCCTCATAAATATTTGGAAGCTCAATCCTTTTTCCTTGAAAAATCATGATTTGAAAGATTGTTAAATTTCACTGTTCCCTGGTTAAAGCCAAGCAGAGGGAGATGTATAAATCAAACTACATACTGTACATAAATGACTCATTTTTGCTCAGTTAAATTTTACTAGCTTGTTTACTAATATAGTGGATACGAAATTGCAAATAGTAATATGCTAATAGTAATATGCAAATTGTAATATGCAAATAGTAATATGCTAATCACCAATAAATTTTAATCGTGAATGTGAAACTAAATTTCCATTAATTTATTTTTATAATAATTGACTTCTTGTTAACATGTTGATAACATTACAAAATTATATTCATACTAAATGTGCAAAACAAGATACGGTAATTAATTTCAAATTATATGTCCTGTAACTTTTACCATGTATGTTATGAATGAGAATGATGATTTTTTTTTTTTTTTAATGAACTATAATAAATTTATATTGAACCTTGAATTATGATTTATTTTTATTTTTAAATTGTTTGAATCATGGAAGTTTATTTTTTGTACTGGTACGCCATGGAGTATTTTGTCAATAATAACACTGTTGAAATTACATAAGTTTGTCTTACAAAAGATTGATAGGATAGAGCTATACAAATTCTTCTTTTCAGGAAGGTCATTGACCCAAAAAATCCCCATCAAGATAGCAATTTGTTTACCATATCACTCTGTTTATTCCCCTAGATGAAAATGGAAGAATCCATTGGTGAAGACACTAAAAGAGGTTTGTTGATATCAAAGCAGTTTACATGTTGCGTGGTGGGGGACATAGTACCAAGATTTAGCACTGTCACCTTTGACGTCATTGTTGACCAATACACATGGGCTGTGTACTTCTGAGGTAATGTAGACTTTTGTGTGTTATTTTATGTGCATTATTGTAGTTCTGAACCATTACAAAATTTAGCTTTTTTACATAATTTTTGTTCACGCTGTTTATTTAATAGATTAATTTTTGAGGGGTATTCATCTTTTCTTTTGTTGTCAAATAAATCAGTACTATATGCGAGCCAAATGGCCGAGCGTTTAAAGCAGGGGCACCGTGATCATAGCCAACAATATCGGCACGGATTCGCGGCCGGCTCGCTCCTATAGTTCTGGTGGTGGAACAAGTCTTCTCGGATAAGAACTATAAACCGT